ACACACACACACACACACACAAAGACTATGTATGTTGAGTGCTCTAAAAACTTTCAGCTAAGGCATCATCCACTGGCAGCCGCTATACACTAAGAAGCACTGCCGCTAATTACGGCTGCCGTACTGCCTGGCAATAGTGCTGTTTAATCGGTGAATATATATTGTATATTTCAGTTTTAATTTGTTGGCACTCATCCAACAGCCGCTTAGTTTCAAGCAAAGTTTCGGTGAATTTATTTAACGGTCTCTTGTATTATGCTATTTCCAGGGAGAGTTTACCCCCTCCGCTTAACTACTATTCGATTAAATCGTTGCGAAGCGTTTCACTCGAGCCTATGAATAACTCGGTGTGATAGTGCTATTTGGATACCTTGTTGAGTGCCATTAAGTAATGGTTACAAAAGGGTAGCTGCAGTTGCAGTCGATGACGCTTTATTAATTATCGTCAACTTCTTAAGGCTCATTAAGATTTCATTGTTCGCTGGGCCACTCGTGTATATATATGCACTAAAAATTTTTAACACTACTATTTGCGTCAGTATATGGTTGCTGTTGTCAAGAGGAGGCAAAAAATAAAAAAATTAAAGAAAGAAAAATTAAAGGAAGGATTATATGTTCTTCTAATGGATGCTTGAATATCTGTATTCTATTTTCTTACCTATACTCCGAATCATTTCATATAGTTTAGCAACAGTTACAAAATGAGAGAAGCTTCAGAAGTACTGTTGCTTTTGCACGAAAGTTTTCGAGCTTCAAGGCATATACGTGGATTATGGCTGTTTGAAAATCTTGGAAAAAGCTTATGCGTAGATAAAACAAAGGTGTTTATTTTATTCATTTATTTTTTTTTGCTATTACGCTTGGAAGTTGTTGGATTACCAAGGAGAATGTAGGAACAGACACGACTTTGTGAATTTTGCTTTTTTAGCACGAGTTTGATGAAGGTGTAGAACTGGTTGGCATTATTGCGAAAGATGGAGACCCTGTGAGTGAGGGAGAGCAGTTAAGAATATGCACAGACACTGTACCTGTTTTTATCTCAAAAGCATATCGGTTGATCTTCATTCTTGATCTCAGTCCATCAGTCTTCGCTGTTGTACGCCATTTAAGAAGTTTAAAATCAGTCTTTTTTAGATATAGAATTAAGTAGTAAAGCTTAAGCCAGAGTTTTTTTTTTATTTCTTTTATTGGGTTCTTTTAAATGCCATGATGAATGGCCTGCTACTTGTATGGCCTGTTTAAAGTAACTGTTTTTGACAGGACGTTTCCAGTGAGACTTTACTGCATAAAAGACTTCTGGATAATCTTGAACGAGCGTTGATCGGTGTCACAATGCCTGTATGCTTATTGCTTAGTTTTATCCATTTTTGCTAAACTGCTATATGAGAATCTAAATTTCATTTTTTTTCTGCGAAAGTGTTGTTTAATTACGACATGTACACAATAACAATCAAGTAGGCCTTTTGGTATGATCAGAATTGCTCATTTAGCTCTTTTTTAGTTCTTTTTACCCGAACACAATCGTTCCTTTAATCCACAGTTGTTCGTGACAATTTGTGTATATACACCATATCTCCAGTTTTCTTATGATTCTGTGGGTTTAAAATTTTTACTTGATCACCTTTTTCAACTGATTTTTTGAGTTAAGCCATTTGTATTCCTTTGCTTATGAATGCTTTTTAGGTATTTTTTCAAGGTTTATTGTTGGACTGTAACAATGTTAAAGAAGCATTGAGACTTATACGCGAAAAATTCGAAAACTTTTCTAATAATCTCTGTTCATTTATGCAGTCAAGTATTGGCATCTATGACAGAGATAGGAGATTGCCTTACCAGGTACAATCTCTCTTGCACTTAAGTTTTCCGTTAAACCACTGTGTTTTTCCTTGATGATGACTCTTTATCAGTTATGCATATTTAGCATAATAAATGTTGTTGGAGTATTGTTAGAGTATTCAAAAGTTTAGGTCCACTTTTTCTTCTGTTTAGGCGAGTTGTTTTACTGGGAGTTTATTTTTTTGATTTTTATAGAACAGAAATTCCAATATGGCTCAAAAGCACGGTTCGGAAGCACACTCTAAATCCACTGGAATGTTAAATTTGTAAGTCTGTGGAGTTTACTGAATTTAAACAGAATTTTTCTGTTGTCATGGAACCTCGTTATTTTCAATGATTTATCGATTTCTATTTTTTGGTTTTGTTTTATGACGATGTTCAGACTTGACAAAAAGTTAGTTGGTGATTTTGGATATATTAAACCTGAATTCACCTTTTGTTCTATGCTACGAATAGGACTTTTGGCGGCTCGATTACTGCCCGAAAACACTCAGTCGAGTAAGTCATAGTTGCTTAATTTTTATTGCACTTGACTCAGGTGTTGTTCTTTCGGCCTCTCATTGTTGCCGAAATAAATGTTCCTCGAATGACTAAATTTTTTGTATTAAACAGATGTTATTTTGTTAACGGATGCTAATGTTGGAAAACCGAATGAAGAAGCGATGCAACTGTTATTGAATCAACTGCGAAATTTCACTCTTTCTTGCTCTGTGATAAAAGCACGTTTTTAATTCAAATAATATTTTCTGTGTCTTCAAAACAGTTATCTTTAATTTAAAAAAAAGCTTATCGTTTTTTTCTTCATATAAGCATGTTGGAGTTTTATTAGCTACTATTCAAAAGTCTTTATAAGATTTCTCAGATTATTCTAATTAATAAAAGCGTTTTAGATGAAACGGAATGCGACTGCAGGTTTGGCTTGTGGTGATTTGACCAATTCTGAACTGTTCAATTTTCTCGCGTTTTCTACTTTTGGGAATTATTTGGTAGACACTGAATCTTTTCTCGATAAGGTTAGTTAGAGGAATTTTGGTTTACATGATGCTTAGCTGAGGATTAATCAAAAAGAAAGATTTTGGCA